ATCAGGCGAGTATTGCAGAGAGTATGTTATCCCAAAAGATCTGCTTGGTCGAGAAGGTCTTTTACTAAGCAGAAAGTTTCGGAAATGGCTAAAGATTGACGTGAGACATGTGAATCAAGCTGATGTGAGTGTTGCAGTTGCTGTTCAAGCGGAAATTCGTGCTAAGATGTTCGAGAAGAAGAGCACAAAAACACAAGAAGATAAGACGACAGAGAGGTAGTGACAGCGGTGTATGAAGGTAATAGAAAGCATGCTGCTGACGGTGAATTTGATTCTGTTGAAGCTTTGAAAGGGGAGTAGAGTGAACAGGAAGACAGCAGTACGATCTGCAGTGAGTGTGGCGATAGGAGATCTGCTGCTGAAGCCCGATGTTATGGGTAAATTGTTGAAAGAGAAGGATATTCGTCATCGGACGGAAGAAATTTACTGCCGTGCACCAGGAAGGTACATTCTTCGTATACTACTCTTCCGGAGGGGCGCCGTTCAAAGTGAAATCGACGGTCACCAAGATTTGGGAATGCGTCTACAGTCCGGCAGCGCATCATACATTCCCTACTCCCATTCACCCGAACACGCGTGTGCGGGACAGAGGGGTACAACTTCAATGACATTTGGTCTCTTTCATCATTTATGAAGAGTGTCTTGCCCACAACAACAGAAGAATGGGATCAGGTACTGGATGACTACTATCGGGAGCACACAATTCCAAACGCGCGACGTGACACGCACACGCTCAAGCCCAAGTTCATGCACTTAGCACGCACTTTACGAACTGGAAGAGGCACTCGATCTGAAGTAGCGGAAGCTGAACGATCTTAAAGCTGATTCAGTCGAAAATGGTGGCTGGGAAGTGTCTCCAACGTCGAGGCGGTCAAGTTTGAGGTTCTGATGGGTTTTTAGCTCCAGACTCTCAAGCTGTACTAAGAACCGTGCGATTTTCCCCCGTGTCGAGAGATGAGTGGGATCTTCTATCAGGCGAGTACTGTAGAGAGTATGTTATCCCAAAAGATCTGCTTAGTCGAGAAGGTCTTTTACTAAGCAGAAAGTTTCGGAAATGGCTAAAGATTGACGTGAGACATGTGAATCAAGCTGATGTGAGTGTTGCAGTTGCTGTTCAAGCGGAAATTGGTGCTAAGATGTTCGAGAAGAAGAGCACAAAAACACAAGAAGATAAGACGACAGAGAGGTGGTGACGGCGGTGTATGAAGGTAATAGAAAGCATGATGCTGACGGTGAATTTGATTCTGTTGAAGCTTTGAAAGGGGAGTAGAGTGGACAGGAAGACAGCAGTACGATCTGCAGTGAGTGTGGCGATAGGAGATCTGCTGCTGAAGCCCGATGTTATGGGTAAATTGTTGAAAGAGAAGGATGTTCGTCATCGGACGGAAGAAATTTACTGCCGTGCACCAGGAAGGTACATTCTTCGTATACTACTCTTCCGAAGGGGCGCCATTCAAAGTGAAATCGACGGTCACCAAGATTTGGGAATGCGTCTACAGTCCGGCAGCGCATCATACATTCCCTACTCCCATTCACCCGAACACGCGTGCGTGGGACAGAGGGGTACAACTTCAATGACATTTGGTCTCTTTCATCATTTATGAAGAGTGTCTTGCCCACAACAACAGAAGAATGGGATCAGGTACTGGATGACTACTATCGGGAGCACACAATTCCAAACGCGCGACGTGACACGCACACGCTCAAGCCCAAGTTCATGCACTTAGCACGCACTTTACGAACTGGAAGAGGCACTCGATCTGAAGTAGCGGAAGCTGAACGATCTTAAAGCTGATTCAGTCGAAAATGGTGGCTGGGAAGTGTCTCCAGCGTCGAGGCGGTCAAGTTTGAGGTTCTGATGGGTTTTTAGCTCCAGACTCTCAAGCTGTACTAAGAACCGTGCGATTTTCACCCGTGTCGAGAGATGAGTGGGATCTTCTATCAGGCGAGTATTGTAGAGAGTATGTTATCCCAAAAGATCTGCTTGGTCGAGAAGGTCTTTTACTAAGCAGAAAGTTTCGGAAATGGCTAAAGATTGACGTGAGACATGTGAATCAAGCTGATGTGAGTGTTGCAGTTGCTATTCAAGCGGAAATTGGTGCTAAGATATTCGAGAAGAAGAGCACAAAAACACAAGAAGATAAGACGACAGAGAGGTGGTGACGGCGGTGTATAAAGGTAATAGAAAGCATGATGCTGACGGTGAATTTGATTCTGTTGAAGCTTTGAAAGGGGAGTAGAGTGAATAGGAAGACAGCGGTACGATCTGGAGTGAGTGTGGCGATAGGATATCTGCTGCTGAAGCCCGATGTTATGGGTAAATTGTTGAAATAGAAGGATAATCGTCATTGGACGGAAGAAATTTACTGTCGTGCACCAGGAAGGTACATTCTTCGTATACTACTCTTCCGAAGGGGCGCCATTCAAAGTGAAATCGATGGTCACCAAGATTCGGGATGCGTCTACAGTCCGGCAGCGCATCATACATTCCCTACTCCCATTCACCCGAACACGCGTGCGTGGGACAGAGGGGTACAACTTCAATGACATTTGGTCTCTTTCATCATTTGTGAAGAGTGTCTTGCCCACAACAACAGAAGAATGGGATCAGGTACTGGATGACTACTATCGGGAGCACACAATTCCAAACGCGCGACGTGACACGCACACGCTCAAGCCCAAGTTCATGCACTTAGCACGCACTTTACGAACTGGAAGAGGCACTCGATCTGAAGTAGCGGAAGCTGAACGATCTTAAAGCTGATTCAGTCGAAAATGGTGGCTGGGAAGTGTCTCCAACGTCGAGGCGGTCAAGTTTGAGGTTCTGATGGGTTTTTAGCTCCAGACTCTCAAGCTGTACTAAGAACTGTGCGATTTTCCTCCGTGCCGAGAGATGAGTGGGATCTTCTATCAGGCGAGTACTGTAGAGAGTATGTTTTCCCAAAAGATCTGCTTAGTCGAGAAGGTCTTTTACTAAGCAGAAAGTTTCGGAAATGGCTAAAGATTGACGTGAGACATGTGAATCAAGCTGATGTGAGTGTTGCAGTTGCTATTCAAGCGGAAATTGGTGCTAAGATATTCGAGAAGAAGAGCACAAAAACACAAGAAGATAAGACGCCAGAGAGGTAGTGACGGCGGTGTATGAAGGTAATAGAAAGCATGATGCTGACGGTGAATTTGATTCTGTTGAAGCTTTGAAAGGGGAGTAGAGTGAACAGGAAGACAGCAGTACGATCTGCAGTGAGTGTGGCGATAGGAGATCTGCTGCTGAAGCCCGATGTTATGGGTAAATTGTTGAAAGAGAAGGATATTCGTCATCGGACGGAAGAAATTTACTGTCGTGCACCAGGAAGGTACATTCTTCGTATACTACTCTTCCGGAGGGGCGCCGTTCAAAGTGAAATCGACGGTCACCAAGATTTGGGAATGCGTCTACAGTCCAACAGCGCATCATACATTTCCTACCCCCATTCACTCGAATAAGGTCCTTCATAATCTCGCGATGGAGACTCCTTCGTTCCTTCCGGCACCGAGACAACGGACGATATACAGTTTTCGCGAAGAGCATCATAGCTGATGCAGAAGTATTGTCAGCTATTTCACGAGTGCCTTCGTCATGTGCGAATAAACTTTCGAATAACAGCGTCATTGGAGGACAGTATTGGCAAGTCAGCAGATCCTGATGCTATTTGTGGAAAGAATGGACATCTAGCGCAGCGCGAACAACGAGACGCTAAAGAAGCGGCGTATGATGATAAACGCATGTATGTGAAAGCCTGGACGGCTTTTGCCGCCGTTTACGTGCTCTGTATCGATAATGAGGGTGGAACGCAACCCGGAAGTAAAAAGCGAGTTTAACGAAGAAACCACTGTCCTTGAGGGAAAGAAGCAGCGGCTCGCACGCTCGATGATATAACTTAGCTGCTAGAGCATGCCGATCATATCGAAAGCAGATCACGAGAACGATGCACGAAGCAGCAAGTTCTATTTCGTCTTCTTCTCTTTTACTTTCGATCAATATCTTCAGGTCAGGTTTTATCAGCGTGAGGATGGTCAACACACAATATGTGCACAGATATACACAAATTCTATAATGCTAGTATGCGATGCTTGAGTCGCAAAGAGACTGGCGATGCCGAGGGCGTAGCATGGTGTACGGCCTGATTGCGAGCCCGAATGGTATAACTTTTATTGACTATGCTCAAGATGAAGGCTTTTTAGATCGTACTTATTGCGAGCACGAAGGGTGAAGCCATTAGTGACTGTGCGCAAGCTGAATGCCAAACTTTTACGATATACTTACCTGTGTGTATGTACAGTATGTGTCTGTAAATAACGCATGATGGTGTACCTTACACGTACTAAGTGAGATTAAGCCTGTCCTCTTCTTATAGGTACATAGGTATATTCGAAGTCACTATTTGGATAAGTAATTACGATGACGAACGCACGTGATTAGATTAAAATTGATCTAAGGTGAATATGATCTTATACACAAACAATAGAAGCTCACAAGAAATGGCTGATCGCGTCGCCCTAGCTTATCGAACTGGATGAATACAGACATTTACATTATCATACTTCTTCTTCAGTGACTACTGCTTTTGTATAATATTCGCAACCTGATTCAGCTCGTCGAACTGGTTGCTTATATCAAAGGGCAAGCTCCAGAATCTGCACCCCTATCTTATCGTCATTTGAGCTTGGCTTTGACTTTTGGCAACAGCTGAGGGCGAATTGAGGTGGGAGAGCTTAGAAGAAGGTAAAATGGAAAGTGAATTATCATCTAGCTAGGTCCTTAGTTCGTCTCGTTGTACTACTCTAAGCCTATCGATATCGACTCTATAAATTCAGTAACAAAACGATGAGTCGATCCCATCGTTACACACAATCACACAGTGTCTTCCATGACATGTGGTCATTAGTATCAGAAACAAACACCACTACCAATACTTCCCCTCGACTAGAAATATCTGGTTCTGGCTTTGTCCAGCAGCGACTCAAACTTCTTTGTCGAAATCGATTTTGGGCAGAAAATCTGCCTGCTGTGACTTGATTTCAGTAAACTGCAGGTCGATAATCTTGTCTTTCACCTGTTTGCGCACAAAATGGTATCTGGTGTCGATATGTTTCGCTCGAGTTTGATAGCCGTCGTTCTTAGCGATAGCGATTGCACTCTGGTTGTCTTCGTGAATTGTGACAGCATAGTTAATCTGCACTTGCATCTCCTTGGGTCGACTTCTTGTCCACAGAACCTCCTGCACACACAGAGAAAGTGCCATATACTCTGCTTCTGCCGTGCTCAGTGCCACGCTCTGCTGCATCTTCGATTTGAAAATCACAGGTGCGCCATTAATCATGACGAAAACTCCCGAAATCGATCTGCAATTCCACTTGTTACTTGCCCAGTCCGCATCGATGTATGCGCTCAGCTGAAGATTGCCTGAAACTCCTTCATAACAAATTACTTTGCTCTGCGTCGTCTTCAGATATCGCAACACTCGGATTACTGCATTCCAGTGCTCTTCATGCGAAAATTTTAAGATGACGACTCAGTTGACATACTACATACGCAATATCTGGTCGTGTGCCTGTTGCCACATACAACAACGACCCCACTAACGACCGATACGGCCTATTCTTTATTCTTGTGTCAGCTTTGTCCATCTTGACCATCGCTTTCCCTTCTAACACTTGGATTTGACACTGCTTTCGCATCAACTTGATTAATTTTCTCGACCATTCTTGATTTAAACGATCCTTGACTAATCTTCAAACGTCGATTGTCGCGCAGGTACTTGAATTCGATTCTAAGAACGTATCGAACACCCCCTAGTTTCTTTAACTGAAAACGACTTGATAGTTGCCACATTGTCCATCGCTCCAGTAGATTCAGCCCCAATTAAAAGGTCGTCCATATATAATGCAGCGTAAATCCACGAGCCCTTGGTCTCTTTGACGAAGATGCATGAGTCTGCCACGCGTGAAGATCACCCCATCTCCACGAACACACACGAAATTGTCTTGTACCATGTAGCGGCCGCTTGTTTTAGCCCATACAGACTGCGATTCAGCTTAAGCACTTGATTATGTCCTGCACGAACGCACAGAAGAGGGTATACGTATACATCTTCTTCCAAAACGCCATATCAAGAAGCAGATCGACATCATATTGATGAAACAACATCCCCTTTTGGCAACACACCGCCAAAAACACTCGTATTGAATTGAGGTTTGCCACAGGTGAATATGTCTCCATGTAATCAACTCCATACGTCTTCCTGTAGCCAAGTGCTACAAGACGTGCCTTGTATCGAATAATCTCACCCAGCTCGTTTCGTTTAAGTGCGAACACCCACTTGGTTCCAATCACTTTCTGGCTTGGACGCTGTGTTTAAACTGTCAAGTAGCCAAGTGCTACAAGACGTGCCTTGTATCGAATAATCTCACCCAGCTCGCTTCGTTTGAGTGCGAACACCCACTTGGTTCCAATCACTTTCTGGCTTGGACGCTGTGTTTAAACCGTCCAGGTGTCCTTTTCCTCTAATGCCTTGAGCTCAGCTTGAATGGCCTTGTACCAATCATCACGACGAGGTGACTTTAGAGCTTCTTCGTATGTCGTCGGGGTCTCGAACGCTCCACATGCTTGCTCATACCCAATACGTAGTCGCTTTGTGCCTCTTTCTTGACACACTTCTGAGCCGTCATAAATTTCCTCATCAGCATCACACACTGGTATAAACGCTTGCGATTGTCCATGTTGAACCGATTCTGGTGGATACATCGCAGTTTCTTGCGATGCTTGAATACTTGTCCGTCGACTTGGTCATATCACCATCTGTCCTTGTGTTGACACTTCTTAAGCCGATTGTTGATCTTCTTCAATCATCGTCACATCATCAATTTTAAACATTGGGTCGTCAGCATTGGAACCCACGTGTTCAGGCATCTTGCTACTGCATCTTGATGGTAGATTTTATTGTTGTCGTACGCCTGTCTCGCATGTGGCTCTCTTCTTGAACACTTTGACTTTCCTCCATTGCTACGTCCGTGTCTTTCGTGACTCGTGGTTGTTCTTAATCGATAGAAACAACGTCTTCGTCATGAACAGCGCTAAATTCTTGCTCACTGGATCTGCTGTAATGTTGCACGTACTGAAGTGGTGGTCTATCATCGAATTTAGCCGATCTCTGTCACTTTTAAAAAAAGTTCCAATTGATTATTAACATTAAGTTTCAGAATTATTTTAAACTCAAAAGTTCTTTTTTACCCAACCTAATAATAAAAAAGTTATAACTAATAACCAATAACAAACTTTAAATAAAGGTCTAAAAGCAGTACTTCTAATTTCCGATGAAGGTGCTCCAAATAATATTTCTAGTTTTTTTGCGATTGTGCCTAAAATGTGCGTCACCCTCTTGGCGTCTTCATTCCATATTCGAAGCCCCTTGATCTGGTTCGAGTAACCCAGAAACATACATCAAATCGCCTTCTTGGTCATCTTGGTCCTGTTTGACTTGTCGACATGTGCAAATCCCTTTGATCCAAATACACACATCTCGGAGAGGTCAGATTTCTACCCGAAGATGAACTCAAATGGAGTTGTAGTCGGGTGACTGGCACATGGAACTCGGTTTGTCACATAGACTGCTGTGTTCATCGCCTCATCCCACCAAATTTTATCCACTTACATATGGATGAGCATTGCTCTGGCCTGCTCTGTCAGTGTCCGGTTCATGCGTTCGGCCAGCCCATTCTGTTGTGGTGATTAGGGTTCCGTCGTCTGATGCATGATACCAGATTTTCGACATACACCAGAGAAACGTCTGTTGACGTATTCCGTCCCGTTGTCCGTCTTGATACACTTGATCTTTTTGGACAGTTGATTTTACATAAGTGCCTTGTACTCTATCAAGCGATCCGTCACTTCCAACACGTTTTCAATATAGTATGCGACTATATATCTCGAATAATCATTAATTAGGTCACGACAAATCTTGATTCTCCTCGGGACTTCGATTCCATAGGTCCATGACAGCACAGTGGACCAACTGCAACACTTCCTCGGTTTTCACCTGTCCGTATGGTGACTTCGGAAACGTCTCGACGGTTGCTTTACCCATGATGCACCATTCGCAGATCTCGATATCATCTTCAACGCCTTGATTCTTCTTGATCTTTAATCCATTGACGCAACCTGCCATACTCTTGAGCATCTTTGCTGACAGGTGACCTAATTTTGCATGCCACACTTGTAGATCAGCCGTTCCTGATCCGTCACCTGATTTTTGCTCTTGATTTGTCTCTTCGCAAACGTTGGCTACCTCAGCCGGACTGCACTCTAAGACGTACATCTTGTTTCGTCTTGGTAGTTGGGCAACGACTTCCGTGTTACTTCTGATCTGACAGCTCATATCCGAGAAGACCACTTGTAGACCCCTTTTTGACAATGCCGATATTGACAGTAGCCTTCGGTATAGGCCCGGCACCCATAGCGTTTCTTCGATCTGATCACTTCACCAGTCTTGAATTGCACGCGCACTGTCCCAACACCTTGCGCTTCCACTTCGCTGCCGCCTGCTATGGTGATCAGGATCAGGTCCGCCAGTGAGTCTAAGTCTAAAACTCATTTCTGTCGGGACACATGTGGCTGCTTGCCCCACTATCGAATAACCATCCAGCTGACGTCCGACTTGACGCAGTAAATGCTCTCTCTTATCGAGATCGCTCTGTCTCCACTTGTGCAGCCTTGCAATCTTGACGCTTGTGCCCATATTTGTTACATCGGTAACACCTTCCCGAGAACTTTTCACCTCTCGAGCTTATTTTCCCCATGTGCCTGCGTGAAACCTTTTTGTACTTGCAAGTGTGCGTACTTTTCAGTGCGACTTCTTGGTATTCTGTCTTCTCCATTCCGTCATACTCCCGTCTCAGCATTTCCTTAGCGTGAAACAGTGTCATTCTGGGCATGTTCTCAATTATCTTGACAATGGTGTCATAGTCATCCGTTTGACTACCCAATAGGATGACCAAATGCTCATCCTGTAAGATCTCTTGTCCCACAGCTTGCATAGTCATGCACAGCTCGTCAAATCTCAGGAAGTGACCCATGATGCTTCCTCTTTTAATCAACTTGGACTCATGTAGTTGCCGCTGCAACTGCACACGATTGTGCATACTTTGTCGCAGGAAGAAAGTCTTTAGTGTGTCCCATGCTTCTGCCGTTGTCTCCGTCGTGCGTACCATTGACTGAAGATTTGTGCTGATCATTGTGGACACAATCGCGAAGGCCTTCATGTCGTTGACTTTCCAAGTTGACGCGCTTGTGTCTCCTTCTTCTGGGGCCTTCATAGCGTCTAGGTGCTCTAGCGATCCCTTCTTTGCCAGGTTCATCCTTGCGTTGAACGCCCACACGAAGTAGTGATCTTTGCGGAGCATGTCACCCGCATCCGGCGAAGTTGGGCTCATAACCTTTTGACTTTTGGCAACAGCCAAGGGCGAATTGAGGTGGGAGAGCTTAGAAGAAGGTAAAATGGAAAGTGAATTATCATCTAGCTAGGTCCTTAGTTCGTCTCGTTGTACTACTCTAAGCTTATCGATATCGACTCTATAATATTAGTAACAAAACGATGAGTCGATCCCATCGTTACACACAATCACACAGTGTCGTCCATGACATATGGTCATAAGTATCAGAAACCAACACCATTACCAATACTTTGCACGGGCGAGTGAGTAAATAGAAATCGTCAATTGATTGTACGGGACATACTCTGGACGAAATTAGCACTTCTGAGTTGCCCTAAATACTTCTCAAAATGACTCATCCGAATAAGAATGATCCATCCGAATAAAAATGAGCCCAGTCGTTTCGCATGTGCCTTTAAATATGGGTAAATTACAACAATAGGCCTGGACCAAAACACAAAAATAGCCATGTCTCTAAAACCTTATTTCTAAACGAGATCGTACGTTGTCCACGTTTCGATTTTGATTCGCGCGCAAGAATCCAAGAAATAGCCCTCGCGTCGTCCATCGCCCCGCTACGACGCGTCGTTTCGGATTCCCTGGTACTTCTCGCATTCCGTGCACATGCTAAAATTGTTTCTGTGCGTCTTCTTTGTCATCTAACGCAATTTGAACCCTCAATAGCTCCTACAGCCCTCGAAATCAAGCTTGAAAGGACGAAACATGGCATACAACTACGTAGCTACTGCGCAGAAACCCACGAGTGTCACCCACTCGCTCACTGCGTCGTTCACAGGAGCGAACGACACTAATCTGCTATTGGCTAAAAGCACGCGCTTTGAAGTGCACTTGTTGACGCCCGAGGGGCTCCAGCCCCAGCACGATATCAATTTGTACGGTCGCATTGCTATTTTCGAGGTGTTTCGAGACGCACAGGAGTCCCAAGACTGGCTGTTTATTGTTACCCAGCGCTTCCAGTTCTGCGTGCTGGCCTACGATGCTCTGACACAGCAAATAGTGACGAAAGCGCACGGCAGCATTCGAGACTCGATCGGCCGCAGTAGTGAGATTGTTACAAGTGGAAACATTGACCCGGAAGGGCGCCTCATTGGTATGAATCTGTATGAAGGCTACTTTAAGGTCATCCCCATTGACAGTGGCAAAGGCATTCTCAAAGACACGTTTAACATCCGTCTCGATGAGCTGCGTGTCATTGATATTAAGTTCTTGCATGGGTACAACAAACCAACGATCTGCGTCTTGTATGAAGACTATAAGGCTGCTCGACACTTGAAGACATACCATATTTTACTCAAAGAGAAGGATTTTGCGGAAGGACCATGGAGTCAGGCAAATGTCGAGTCGGGTGCGACGTTGCTTATCCCCGTACCGGCTCCGACGGGCGGAGTGCTCATTGTGTCCAATCAGACGATCGTGTACCATAGTGGAAGTACGTTCCACGCCATTCCAATGCAATCGACCGTCATTCAAGTCTACGGCGCAGTAGATAAAGATGGAACAAGGTTTTTGCTGGCGGATCAGTATGGAACACTGTCGGTAGTGGCCTTGCAACTGACTGGAAAGGAGGTCAGCGGCGTGCATTTGGAAGTGCTGGGAGAGACGAGCATCGCGTCTTGCTTGTCATACTTGGATAACGGTGTTGTGTTCATCGGAAGTACGTTCGGCGATTCGCAGCTGATTAAGCTCAATGCAGACCGGGATGAACACGGGTCTTACGTTGAAATCCTGGATACGTACGTCAATGTCGGTCCGATCATCGATTTCTGTGTTATGGACCTCGATCGACAAGGCCAGGGTCAAATTGTTACTTGCAGTGGTGCTGACAAGGACGGAACGCTGCGTGTGATTCGCAATGGAATCGGAATTAGCGAGCAAGCAACTGCAGAACTTCCTGGTATCAAAGGGATGTGGTCGCTGCGCGAAACCTTCGCCGCAGAGTATGACAAGTACTTACTGCAGAGTTACGTGAACGAGATCCGTATTCTTGCGATCGGCGACGAGGACGAGATGGAAGAGAAGGAAATTCCGGCGTTCACTAACGTTAAGACTTTGCTTTGTCGCAATATGTATGGCGACGTGTGGCTCCAAGTGACCGAGTCAGAAGTGCGACTCATTGGCTGTAGTACATTTTTGCTAAGCTCGACGTGGTCGCCGCCCCCGGAATCGCGAATTACTGTCGCTGCTGCTAATCCCACCCAGGTTGCAGTTGCTACTTCGGGTGGTGTGCTTGTTTATTTGGAGGTTGAGAACGGACAATTAAGTGGAAAAAACAAGATCAAGATGGAGCACGAGATTGCATGCGTGGATATTTCTCCGCTTGCACGCAGGGATGTAGGTGAGGGAGATGCTTCCATGACGAGCCCGTCGACTCACTGGGACATGGCTGCTCTTCGCGGCTCGATTTGTGTAGTTGGGCTATGGACTGATTTCTCGGTGTCCGTCTTGAAACTGCCAACCCTTGAGAAGCTGACTACTGATTCGCTGGGGACTGACCTTCTTCCCCGATCAGTGCTGTGCAACACATTTGAAGGGAAGGATTATCTACTTGTTGGACTGGGCGATGGTAGTCTTGTAAACTATGAGCTAAATGTCGAGCAGGGAAAGCTCGGAACACGAAAGCGGGTATCACTAGGCTCACAGCCTCTCACACTATCAACCTTTCGATCAAAAAACATGACGCATGTGTTTGCAGCATGCGATCGCCCGACTGTCGTCTACTCTAACAACAACAAGCTGCTATACTCCAAGGAAGTGAATGTGATGTGCCCGTTCGATTCGGAATCCTTTCCGGAATGTCTTGCACTGTCCTCGGAAGAAGGACTGATGATCGGTATGGTCGATGATATCCAGAAGCTGCATATCCAGACTTTCCATCTCAACGAGTGGGCCCGCCGAATCGCCCACAACGCAGAGTCACACACACTTGGGGTGCTCACCGTGAATTTCACGATCGACGGCACCGGCGAAGAGGTCGACCAGGGGTTTGTACGCTTATTTGACGACCAGACTTTCGAGGTTCTCCATTCGTACCGGCTCGATCCGTTCGAGACACCATGTTCAGTTGTCGTTTGTCCTTTCGCAGGTGATTCCACGAACACGTCGTACTTTGTAGTTGGAACCGCTTATGTGCACGAAGAAGAAGCTGAGCCGCATCAAGGTCGTATCTTGGTATTTGCTGTAACGGGCATTCATGGAGAGCGGAAACTGCAGTTGGTTGCTGAAAAGGAAGTGAAAGGCGCGGTTTACTGCCTCAATGCCTTCAATGGCAAGGTCCTGGCAGGTGTTAACAGCAAGGCGCAACTGTACAAGTGGAGTGAAAACACCGATAGCGAGAAGGAGTTGGTCTCGGAATGCGGTCACTACGGTCACACATTGGTGCTTTACATGGAGTCGCGGGGTGATTTTATCGTGGTTGGCGATTTGATGAAATCGATTTCCTTGTTGAGCTACAAGCAGCTCGATGGTACCATCGAGGAGATCGCAAGGGACCTGAACTCAAACTGGATGTCCGCCGTGGGCATTATCGATGACGATACGTACATCGGCAGCGAGACGGATTTCAATTTGTTTGTTGTGCAACGTGACAGTGGCGCGGCGTCAGATGAAGAGCGCGGGCGCTTGGAGACGGTCGGGGAGTTCCACTTGGGCGAGTTCGTAAATCGCTTCAGATACGGATCGCTGGTCATGCAAAACAACGCCGCGTCGATTCAAACTCTTGCTAGCAGCGATTTTACCGGCCGTTCTGATATGGGTGACGTGGGTGAGTCAGCTCCTGTAGTCTTGGCTGCTCAAAGTCCATCCATGCTTTTCGGAACTGTCAGCGGCATGATCGGCGTAGTCTTGCCGATCAGTAAAGATCAGTACACTTTCCTGCTTCGCGTTCAGCAAGCGCTTACGCAGGTCGTGAAGGGCGTTGGTGGCTTTTCTCACAAGGATTGGCGCACATTTGAAAATCGACGATCAGTGTCCGAAGCCCGAAACTTCATTGATGGAGATTTGGTGGAAAGCTTTTTGGATTTGCCGAAGCCTCAGATGGCCAAGGTGGTGGACAAGCTGAACAACGAGGGGATGCTGGACGGGACGAATCAAATTACTGTCGAAGATTTATCGTTGCGGATTGAAGAGCTCGCGCAGCTGCACTGAGTCAGCGGTCAACTGCAAGAAGAAGCCAGGGTAAGCCCGTCGTAGGCAGTGCGTGCGGCTGGTGACGTTGTCATGGCCTACGTTTTATCGCAACTTAATCTGCGCGTACAAGCAATAATGTTTCCTTTTTGCTACAACACGCAATGTCTGTAAATTTTGCTTCCACCCAGCTGAAGTCGCTATCGTCCTTGAAATGGAGACAGCCAAGTGGCGTCAACACCGAAGAAACCGCACGACACAAGTGTGGCACTATAGATGATCTGGTAGTGAATATAGAAACGATCCTGGAACCGCTCCGTCTAATGCGGGTTACACTCGAGGAAACAGGATACACATCAGCACCTGCATTGCCTCCAACTGCCAACTTGCTGAAGTTCAATCCTACACACTGAGTCAAATCGACCGCTTCTCCCTCTCGTGTCATAGTCATTGCCATCGTCTTCGGGATCTCAATTAAAGCGTCACGTGGGAGCAAAGGAGGCACAGCAGATCACAAAGCAGCGCTTCATGTCGGCTGTTGTTTAAATCCTTAAACTTCTCCGAAAGCCTCTTCACTAGCCCATGACGTCCTTCGCACGCTTTCCTCGCTTCTCACCCCCCCACCCACCCCGTTCTAGTTCGAATCATGGCGCAGAGCTTTCTTACGCTCCTGCACACAAGATGTTCCTTCTCCACTGCCGTATAAGCTGCATTTGCTGGTCAATGCATGGCTTCAGCGCATACTGCTTTCTCCGAATAATCTTTGACAGATAAAAGTAGAGGCTGCAAGTGGCTGGACAGAGGTCATTCGTGATCCGTCTTCTTCTTCCTTCGCATTATTGCCAGCCTTGTTAGAGCCCACATTCGGTCTAAAGCCAAAGGTTATGCCCACAGCACTGATAGCGCGCTAGCAATGCCGCCTTGTCATTGTCACGTTGTTTTTGTTTTTGTCATTTTCAAGCATTGTCTGCGATTAATTTTAAATTGAAGTAAATTTAACATGGCACGATCGCTATTGACAATTTAATGTTCCAAAAATCAGAAATTTCGGGAAAACCTAGATTTTACTTCGCTGACATTCGACCAGTCCTAGGAAGGCGCCCACCTCGAATTTTTGCTCTAGCAATTGTAATCAAAATCTGTTTGACCTGAACGTTCAGGTATTGACAGGACAACCTTAAATATTCTGATCAACCAATACAATTCAAAACATATTTCAGAGGAAGGACACAAAAATTATCTAAAAAAGATAATAAAATTAATATATTTCAACAATTTCTTAGGAACACTTTGTATATCAGCACGTCACGTCGCTCTGGCGTATACAGGTAAACACAAATCAAGGGCTTTTAAGTCATCAAAGGTAAAAATTAAAGCTAGTTAATGGCGTTGCCGGGTGGCAGACGATCTACAGCTGACACGTCAGATCTATCTGCTGTGATAAATTAAAAACCTATCAAGCCAATATAATTGGTCTTGGTCTAGAACATGCTATTCAAGCTAACCATCCTTAGAATTACAGCACATCCGTAAGACTAGTTGAATAAGACCATCGTAATATAGATAAAAATACCTGCTCGTTTGAAGGCTCTTATAAACCACGTATTTGATCCATGACTTTTGAATAAGTCAAGAGCAAATCTCGTTATTAGTACCACAAATGTCCAAAAGTCCCAAAACCAGTACTGTTGTTTGATCAAGTATAAATGAGATGAATAACAAGTGTTTAAAACATCACACTAAACGGCAACATGGGATAAGAAACTACTTGATTGCTATTGGGTCTTTCCACTTGAAGACAACTGTCCCACAAATGGTCACAGAAACACCCCATTTTTACCAACGGTTCGTTCACTTCTCAATTTGCGCCCACGCGCAGATGTGCGCACTGTTTGTTGTAAGGTGTTCGTCGTATGCACTTGTGCAAAAGATGTAGGAAGTAAAAGTGAAATATGTTGAGTGTCAAGAACTGCCTCCTTCAACACTTCGATATGTATGACCAGAAATGGAAACTGCAACATGACCATGTAAATTCACAAATGGTGTCCGTCTCTCCTTGTCCCATGTGACATCCTGTCACATGACGTCCGTCTCTCGCAGTCCCATGTGTCAACCTGTCACATGGCGACCGTCTCTCCTCGTCCCGTCGTAGTTCCCACATGTCACGTTGTGTGGTAATCAGCCAATCAGGTGACACCGTCCCACGGTATAGCACTTGAACCTAGAAACCTGTCAAACACGATAGTTTCTAACACGCGCTGCAAACGCGCACATTACGTGTGAGCTAGGCGATACGGTCACGAGCTCGACAAGATCGTGATCCTCGGGACCATTTAGGACTCATCACCGTTCGCAAGTAACAAGATTAGCTGGTAAGTTCTTGCTGTTTTTGTCGTCTGTGCTATTTAGCTATCGCGTACTTTGTCGGTGTGCATGTGTTGCAGTGCGAGGGGTAGGAAAGTCGAACAAAATAAGTAAAGATCGGTGGATCTGAGTGGTACAGCATTTGTGCCACGTACTTACGGTAATACCGCACCTTATTGGGTAAGGACAAGGGATGAGGCTTTTGATATAGGATCGCAATGTAGAAGTCAGTCCGACAAGGTTTACAGTTTTATTACCTTAGTTCAAGAATAAATAGAGTTCCGTTCCCCTTTTGAATCGTTGGACACGAGTGCCTAGTCAAGGCATAGTGTGTTGTAAAAGTGTTAGCCTTGTGAAGGCGCTTACTCTTGTCTAACTAGTAGTGACTAGTTAGTGTGTTATTCTATTGATCGTGATCCGTTTGGAACCGGAATTGTTAAGCTTGTACGTTTGAACGGCTGTACGTCGTTATTAGTTTGTTTTAACCAAGAGACTCTTTGAGTTTAAGACTTCCTGTGTTAAGGAGCGCTAAGTAGCTCCGCTTCAACTTCGACTTACTTCGCTCTTCTTTCAAATTTTAGTATAATAGAATGTTTGTGATCCTGAGTATTCAACAAACATTGTTTTACTTGAAATGTGTATGCTCGATGTGGCCGTATACTTTTGGCCAGGTGCCAAAAGCGGTTTTTTGTACGTGAGCCATGCCTTTACCTCAAAAATGGGGACGTTAACACATAAGATTTATGCCGCGCGGTCCTTCAGATCACCCTGGGGTGAACTGCGAGTGCTCTGAATCAGTTTGATTTCCTTACAGGACCCGCACCTCTCATTACACTATGGGGCTTTTCGGCCAGTAGGGCCTCCAGCCCACCTAACGATCACACGTCTTGCGCGGGCTGGCAGGGCGGCCACTTCTGCGTAGTTGCTCGTCTACTATATCAGCCTATCTCCGGCCCCTTGTAATCGAACCTCCACCGGGTATCGGTCCAGGTACCTCTCGGTCCCATTTCTAGCGGCCTACCACTCGGCCACAGGGGTCGGATACGATAACACATGAGAGGTATGTAATAAAGCTTTGAGCACAACATGCTAATATAACAGCGCCCGACTCATACTTAAAAAAAATAAGAGTAGAAAAACGGGTGGCCTTTTATCTATGGCCCGGACTTTAACACTAGCCTTTTAGTACTTTTGCAGCGATAGTAATAAAAAAACAGCTGGAATTTAACTGCAATGTAGTTTACGTACAAGCTGCACACACCCTTTACAGTCTTCCCTCTGCTAAGTTATCCCCGGCTACGGATTAACCTCCGGTAAGTTATAGGATTCGGTCTCCACCGACCCGTTCTATGGTGACACAGAATAAGTTATACGGAATAGCCTGAGCCAAAACAACTTACAGAGGGAATATTTTTGTCCGCCGTGAGCAGAAATATTGACCAGAACCTTTATTTTGTTATTCACGCAAGAAAGGAGGGAAAGAGGAGAGGGAACACAGCCAGGAACAAGTGTGGCCGAGTGGTGCCGCACTACGGAGATCAGCTGGACTGGCGAAGGGTCCGGTGACATACGATGGGACCCGAGAAAGGTCGAGAAGGGCGATGGATAGACAAGGCTGGCAAGATTTTCAGCCTTCGAATCTTTCCACCTCCTCCTCCGCCTCAGCACACCTTCCTCCTCCCCATACGGATCCTCAACAAGCTTGATGATTTCGGCATCCAGCTCGCACTCCTCCTCCTCAGCCGGATTGAGAAGAGAAGCGCGACATGGGATTGGAGCGGAGCCCTTCAGCGCCGAAACAAGATCCTGTTCCACGCGCTCTCCTCTACCAGCAGCTGCTCCTCCTGCTGGGCGCGCCAACAGTCCCTTCGTTTTCACCCCCACCAGTCGCAGAGCGACCCCATGAGTCCCGATGATGGAAGCAGTGGCGTTGTGGCACTGAAATCTCGCCCACGCAGCCAGCGACCAACCATGCCGTGAGCTAATCAACATTGTAAAGGTTGGTTTCTCGCGCTGTCACGGTCCAAGGCATTCTGCAGATGCAGCGGTAGTGCCTCTTGAATGGCAATAATCCCAGCATCCATGGGTTGGACCTTTGAAGTCGTATTAGGAGGAAGAACCTGGACCGTGATGTTGATGAGTTCCAGGTCAGCAACAATGTGTGAAGGAGCGTTGTCCATGAGAAGCGGATTTTTCTATCCTTTTGCTGTGGTCAACGCGTTAGTCAAACCTCCTTTACTGTACCACAACGATGATGTTCAAGGCATGCCCCAAATTACCTTCATACTTTTGTCGACTCTCCCAGCCATTCCTGGAAGAGTATGCCAGTCATCCAGGCTTTCTTGTTGTTGGGTAGAGAAACCAGTCGTAGTGTCTTGTGCTCAAAAACGGGTTTTTGGCTGTCAATGAAGAACGGCGGGAGTTTGTCGGATCCATTAGGTTTGGTGAGAGCAACTGTGATGGGTCTAGAATAGTTGTTAGTGTCAGAGAAAGCAGGAAACCAAGAGGAGAGCAATAATGTACCTTGTCTTTTTAAACCCTTCGACCTCTTGCTGGGCGATCGTTTTGTCGGGCGCATACTGTAGAACAAACCTGAACAGAAAGTGAGCTTTGAGATGCTTCTGTACTGTACAATGAGTACAGTACTGTACTGTATTCTCAGACCTACCAGTTTCGTCCATGTTGTACAGTACGTGGCGCATAACCAGCAACCACGGCCTTGAGGTGTGGAAGAGCCTCCTCTAGAGCGCCCATATCTGCTGAGCCACTCTCGCCATGAATGGACAGCTCGCAGTTTGTGGCGTTGCTGGAATTTGTGGAGCCACCCATGCGAAAAGCTGATGTTTTCCTCCGAGACGCCCGTTGATCCCGCAAAGGTCTCAGCCTTGGCCCGTATGAGATCTCCAGTGAGAGCGACCCCACGGTGCAGGCACTGCAAGACCCAGAAGGCGACGGCCTCCTCCACAGCTGGGTGCTGGACAGTCCGAGGACGCTTAGCGCTGAGGTCAGTGGTGTCCATTGCCTCAAGCTCCTTCCTTTTTTGATAATTTTGCTGATCGCTGCCTGGGAAAGTGCCTTCTGGAGGTCAAAGGCGTCCTTTGTCCAAGCCGCCAGGGCAGTCTGGGTGATGCGCGGGTTAGCATCCTGGTGCTTGCAGATGCGCAGCTTCTGCTCGTTGGTAAGACGTATCTGCGACATCTGTTGTGAGTGAGCAAGGCACAGTTGGTGGAACTTCTTAATTAGAGATAGCAAAATCACCAGAGACTGGTGGGGCAACCAAAATCACAAAATCTTCATAGGGCACGTGACACGTGACAGACAGGTTTTGGAAGCCTGGAGGTTTGTTGCGTTTTTAATTCTTTAATTAATTAAATTGATAATTTTTCCGCAGCATACCTCTGCTATGGAATAACCTCTGCTATGTTATAGGATTTACCTTCCACGAAGTCTATAACTTTGCAGAGGGAAGACTGTATTTTTCAAGACTCTCCGTGCTTTTATTCGTCCCCCCTAAATCCTGACTCGACTTTCACAATGACGAGGAAGGCGTACCGCTCGTCGCTCTCGGATAGCATGCATCCAGGGGGACCCACGACGATGGACGTCCTCATGCGGTGGATGACGATACCCGGCAACGCAAAGCGCTGGCGCATGGAAACGCATGGCTCGCTCATCCGTGAGGTCGTGGAGATGATGCAGGAAGAAGGACTGGCGCACCGTAAAGCTCCGTTTGTGCGCTATAAACTGGACGCAATCGAGAAGCAGTACGTCGCTGCTAAGCAGTGGTTACTCGAGACGGGTATGCACGATTCGTACATAAGGGGGAAAGCTGCAAAAGAAGTTCGGGCTCATGTAGAGAGCGTGTGTCCGCAGTTCAAAAGACTGGACGTGGCGTTTCGAGGCCTTCCGTTCAGCAAGAAGAGTGCAGAGACAATTGATCTGGACGGAGAAAGTACAGATGACTTGGCAGCGGTACGAGATGATGAAGAGGGGGACGAGAGTGGGGAAGAGAATGAGGGTGTGGACGAGGTGGACAAGAGTGACGACAGCGACGACGATTGGGACAAGGAGCAGTCATCATTGGTGTCTACTGCAGAGGAAAGAAGGAAGCCGTGTTGGTGATGAGGAACCGGCGAGCAACAAGGTTCTTGCGACGGATGCAACGTCGATGGCCTTACAGGCGAAGAATACGTTCAAGCACCGACTCCTTTCGTCGATGGGCAAAGCTGCTCGAAAGAAAGCGTTGGCGTCTGTCGATCTGCAGAAGCAGCAAGCAAGGACACCTGACAGAGGAGACGTTGTTGGAAAACAAAAGGCTGCGGTACCTGCTGCGCATCAACAAACGACTGCAGCTTTGTCGTCGTTTCCGTCCATGAATGATGCTGGCAACGACAAAGCTTCAACGCCAACGTTGTCACAAAAACACGAAAACAAATCGAGGGAACGATCTCAATCAGCGACTATGGACTTGGGAATGGAGCAAGCTACATCAGAAGCTGGTATAAGCACTTCAGTGATTGTAGGGAAGAAGAAACGGGGACGACCTTCGAAGCTTGCTGCCGCTGTGCGTCTTGCGGTGAACAGTGTGGAGGAGAGCGCGACGATCACGAATGGGAGAAAAGAGTTGGTACCAACGACGATTGCCTCGGTATATAAACGGAAGGTTATGGAGAAGGAACCAAGTGCTGTGAAGCGAACGCGAGGGCAAGAGCGAGACGGGATGGACGTGCAACTTTTGGCGATCGAGCGGGAGGCGCTGTTGAAGCGGGTGAAGGATGAACAGAAACAACGCCACGAAGTATACGAGCTCGAGCGCGCCAAATTGGAATGCGAACTAAAGTCGAAGCAGGTCCAGCTGCTGTATGAAAAAGCTTCTGCGCGAAAGAAGCTTGATCAGCTTGGCGTTTCTCAGGAAGAGGTCGATCGTATTTTGCCGTTATGAGCGATGTGGTATGACCAGGCGGTGCGTTCAATGACATGGTTACTGACGTCATACACAGAATTCGATTGTAAATGTTCACGTTGCAAGCCAGTAGTGGTTTGTGGACTACTATTTGTCGATTGTTGTTAATCAATGGCAAAGTTTGAGGCACTCGAGCAGTGAGGGTAGAAAAAAGGAGAAATAAATTTGAGGGAGTTGCAAGCCAGTGGTGGTTTGTGGACTACTATTTGTCGATTGTTGTTAATCAATGGCATAAGTTTGGAGCGGCATCCCCTTCTCGAGCTTCCCGCATCGTTCATAAGGTGTCAGAAATGTCATAATTGGAGTTACTACATACCGTCACCGTCACATCGCTTTATAGCCGGAGATGTCATGTCAATGGCATCCCGTCAATCTGACATCCCGTCAATCTGAGGTGCATTGCAAGCTCATTAAGTGACTCCCGGTACGGTCATATTAACTCACACGTTTTTCGTCCATTGTCGAACGGCATCCCTCACATCAAATACCCATCGAGCTACTTCTTCACCTAGAAACAAGCTTCCCACGACCTGTACAACATCTCACTCTATTTCCAATTGCGCTTATTTCGTGCATCCGATTTTGTGGAGCTTCCAGTCTCCTTTCTGGCACTCGACACCGCAGTAGAACTGTGCCTTGCATCGCGAACAACGCAGTGTACCATTCTTCGAGCAGCGGTTGGCTCCACAAATACGCTGGATCGACCCTGGCAACATCATCTTGTCTGAGGCCTTCGCACGAGCAAGCGCAGCACCCGCTGCTGCCCCTCCATGACCGTTTGCCACCGCCACTGCTTGCGACTTTGCCGTCTGCACCCATGGGGCATCACCTGATATCTCACCGAGTCGGAAATCCATCCTGATGAAATCGTCATCTACAATGCCAAGAACCAGTTGTCAAGCATCAAACGTGTTATGCAAAATACTATTGTTCAACGCTTCAACTCACCGTTATCAAATACGCGGCCGATGAATGCATCGCCTTTGACTTCTAGCATCTTTCCACACGCTTGAGCAATGGCTGATGCACGTACATTTGTGGCCAACCCTTTAGCAGTGCCCTTGTCATCCACGTACATGTTAATGCCCACGTGCTTGACGCCCGGCGTGTTAAGTACGAGTGGAATGGAGTCCACGAGACTGTCCATTTGTAGTACCATTTGGAACATCTCATCCGTGAGCGTCGCACCCTCTGGCATTTGGGCCAGTAGTTGCTGTTTGAACGTCTCTTCTTGCTGCTGCTTGGACTCGATGGTAGAGTTTCCCTTGAAATGCACTCGAAGTCGCTCGGTTAAACAGCCCAGCTGCGCCTCCTTGTCACCGGGGAGCTTGACTGCCCATTCTTCCAGCTCCTTGGTCTCATCTGCCGGCACATACACCACGTAGAAACTCTGACGCTTCGCTTCGCCTTCGCCAACCATTGTTGAATTAGAATCTGATAGAAATGGCTATAGACAAAGACCGCAGTTTCACTGCGACCTAGGACGACACGTAAACAGCTACAAACTCGAGGTTGTCCTACATTAAGGGCATTTGTATGTACACAAGCGTGTAGGCAATGTATGGATGATTGTGTGTGTAGACCATTCCGTGAACTGTCAGGATTCTAGGATGAGGATGAAGATGGAAGGCTGTGTGCAGCTCATCATTGGGCCGATGTTCAGTGGCAAAAGCACGGAGCTCATTCGTCGCATTCATCGTTATCAGCACGCCAAGCTAAAATGTCTCGTAGTCAAGTACCTCTTCGATACTCGCCACTCGGACGGGTACGTGCATCATCATCAATGGGACTGTAATACTGTAGCATTGATGAAGTAGAAACATAGAGACCGTAATGTAGGCTAACAAGACTATCCGACATATTGGGGATCTGGTGTAGAATGTTAGCAACTCATGACAAGGCGCTCGTGATGGCAATGCCAGTGCAGACTCTGGCTGAAGTGCGACCTTTCCTAGAGAAGGTGGACGTGATTGGCATTGACGAAGGACAGTTCTACCCGGACGTGCGTGTATCCAGTGCTAAACACAATGCTTACATGTACCGTAGCTGACATGTTGTGTATCCTCTATTTGAAATAGCTGGTTGAGTTTTGCCAAGATGCAGCAAATATGGGCAAGATGGTGGTCGTTGCGGCGCTGGATGCGACATTTGAGAGAAACGTGAGTTCTCTGGTTACAACATTAGGAGGCGGTAGTGCGGACTGTTATTGATACGACACGATGAGTGCAGGCTTTCGACAATGTGATAAAGCTTATCCCTGTAGCCGAGCAAGTCATCAAACTAAACGCCATCTGCTCGTCGTGCGGACACGACGCAGGTGCGATTTTGTAGTGACTTGGAAAACGTCGGTCATACGCTGACTTGAACTCATGCGGCTTTCGTGACAAGCAGCTTTCACACGGCGTCTTGTGGCCGACAAGACACTCGAGGTGCGAGGTTTCTGTACTACGGTGCCCTCCTGCTCATGACATTAACGTGACAAGGCGTCTGTTGCAATACAGCTCATCGGGGGCAGCGAAATGTACGAGCCGCGCTGCCGACAGTGCTTCAGCTTGAATTCGGTACAGAGTAGTGCTTCCTAGACGCCAAGCAAGTCGAGCCAAGCTTGAACCACACGGATACAAGGTACTAGGAACGGCGCTACCATCATCGACGGTAATAGAGATTTTACGCAAAAGGTTCAGCCAGATTTGCACCGATTGAACCAGATCGTTGCATGTCAACTTACCTGTATGCAATTACGAGTCGCCCTCACCGTGACTTCAAAGTACACAAGTTTTCTCTTCGTCCATTATTTACCGCCTCAATGCGACACTTGACTACTCTTAGTAGGTTCGATTACTTACGTCGTCATATTCGCTTGTTATCCGGATCGTCGTACTGAAAACAATCATATCGCAAACACGGCCGTGCGCACCATCATTAGATAGTGTTCGACCACACTAAATACGACACCATCCGTGCCCTTCAAACGCGTACTTTGACAAGTTCCTACCAAATGATTACCCAGCCATCCCCACCTCTAACTCAGCGCTCGCGGCGGAACCTGACGTACCGGGAGAAGCTGGCGATCATCCACAAGAAGGAAGAAGAACCCGCGTGGACGCAGCGCAACTTGGCGCTCTGGGCAAAGGAGGTGTTCCGTCTTGAGAGCAAACCGACGCAAGCCACGATCTCGAACCTGCTTCGAGCCAAGGACAAGCTACTGAACACGGCTGTGCCGCCTGAATTCCGCTCTTCGAGGCGTGTAAAGTACCCCGAGCTGGACCGTCGGATGCTCTTGTGGGTACACCAGGAGCTGCTTAACGGCGTGGCCGTCACACGTCTGTCGATTCAGACCAAAGCCATCGATTTGGCGCATGAGATGGAGCTCCCGTCTGACTTGACGTTCTCGAAAGGATGGGTCTGTAGCTTTACCAAGCGACATCAGTTGGATTTTGCAACGAAAGGTGGCAATTCATTGGTGCAGCTGGATGCGGCGAGACAAGATTTGCTGGCAAGTACGGCTAGTGAAGCCGTGAATAGAGTCGAGGTTCACAATGTCCAGCAGTTGTTAGGACAAGAGACAGCGAGTGAAGGGAAGGAAGCTGGTGATGAAGAAGAAGATGTGAAAGACGAAGCAGAGGCGGGATACGAGGAGAGGAACTTGTCTGCAGAGATGGAGAACAAGAAAGAAGAGGAAGTGATTGATGACAAGGAACAAGTAGCTGGGGATATGCACACGGCACTAAACGCGTCTCAGACAAAGTTGATGATGACGGAAAGCTCGATGCTGCAACCAAGTGTGAAGCGGAGGAAAACTGAGATAAAAATAGAAAACAGTATCCATGAGAAGGAGACCTCTGAGACAGAGGAGAGACAAGCGACGGCAGAGATGTTGTTGCTAGACTGGATTTTGATGCCAGGAAGTTACTCACGGTGGTGGCTCTTGAAGCATGATGAGGAGAAGACACCGCTATGTGATGAGATCAATGTGTTTTTGCGCGCACACGGCCAGCGTGGAATGAGTAGTGCAGATATCCGGTTGCAGATCACGACGCTCGTGACGACATTTCAAGCGGCACAGACGTGGTTGCATCATGCAAAAGTTGAGTATCCCCTGACGAATGCGAAGCCTACACTTGAGCAGGAGCGGATCAAGAGGCATGTGCTCCAAATGTGTCCCTACTACGAGAAGCTGGTGTCGATTTTAGCAGCTTATGTCAACTGTGACAATCGTACAAATGGTGAGGTGCAGGTGGAGGAAGCTTCACCAACAACGATAAGCTCGTCTGCATTACTGAATAATGGCGATGCTGCTACGCAAGCAATGAGCACTGCCGCCGTTGTCCTTGATGCTTCTCCAGAGCCAGCGATGAGATCACAACGACAGGGTACAGAGTTCAGTGTCGATGCCGTCGATGATGAGGCCAAAGCTCAGAAGCGGCATTTGTTTGAGCTGGAATGCGCTCGACTTCAGTCAGAAATTGAGACAAAAAATGTTCAGTTGGTGCTAGAGAAGACGTTGGCTCGAAAGAAGTTGCTGGATGCGGGTATTCCAGCTGATGAGGTGAACCGCATCTTTCCGTCATGATATAAAAAACTTGTTCGCGCTGGTGTAAGAAAAACATGGTTCCCTAGATTGCCACCGTGATCCACACTTTCTTGTTGATAACCTCGTACTGTCAGCTGCCCATGTAGGAGAACTTCAGCCAAAATGATACAAAGCTGCTGTTCGCAATCGCGTGGTCATCTACGTCCGGATCGACAATTTGGCCCGGGAGCGTGAATAATGCTACATTGATGCTGACTTCTTACGGCTCAGCATTCTGCAGGGATTTTTAAATGCATGTGTTAGCTTGGAAGCTATTTCAACACCTTATGCTGCTCGTTAATCCGAAGGCTGTAACACTGCTGCACTCGCTCAACATAATCCCATAAATCACTTTCGGGTCACCACAACATGTTGCGACTAATCAAGGGATTCAATGAATGGCCACTCTTAAGCTTTCTTATCTGTCTAGCTGGATGGGTTAGACAATGCAGCTAATGTGTAGCTTGCTCGTTTGCATGCTGAATTAACCTGAATATGCAGTAATCGAGGCTTAAATTAGGGCAAACACGGCATAATCCGAAAATCAAAAATGTAGCTGTCATTCTACATGACACTGGCCTACAATTACTATTCCGGTGACACGTTCACACAGAGGACGCAAATGTGCAGAGACTGAGCTAGCTATACCAAGCTTTTGTTCGCTTTATGACGAAATGAATCGCACCCTTTGTCTGGACGCCGCGAAACTTCACGTTCACTAGTACGTGCAGAGGAAGCTAATCTACTTGAACGACTCGGTCAAGTAAAGGTAAAAAGAGAACTGTATTTAATTTTGTCGAGCTATCAATATAACTTTAATCTTTATCTAACTTTATTAAACTACGTCGTCGTATGACGACAATCTACTCACCACTCATTGCGCGCGTCTAGCAGCGATTGGTGGCAGTCTATGGTTGATATGTCTTATATCAACGAATCTTGGAGCTATCCAAAAGAGGATAATATTTCTTCAATATTATCCATCCCGGATAATATCGGTAGAATATTGTCATACTGGACATTATTCCTATTGACACCGTTTGGTGTCAATTTCATGTAACGGGCTACCCCGTTACATCACCCCCCCTTAACCATCAATTACCCATTGATTGAATTAGAATTGATTGGGACAGGGTGACCACAGTTGGATCATCCTGGGAAAGGGAGCACTTGTTGGTCAAATTCCATTCGTTTGCCAATCCAACGCATGGTGTCAAAAACCACGCGAGCTGCTACTGCAGCAGCAAGAAGAGCGGCTGCACGCATGTGTTCGGCCGCGGAAAGTGCCTCTCACGCCTCAGCAGCAGTCGATTCATCGCCTGTCGTCGTGGATCCTCCACGTGGTGAGTCACCACGTGCGACAGGTACATCCGTTACGTCTGCAGCGGGTACCTCGAATCGTAATCCAGATGAGTCTGAGATAGAGCTCATCTAATCTGGCGAGTCGGATGATGCATCCGACTCGAAGGCGACTCCTCAGCCTCGCCTCGGGGTCACCCGTGGCGGACGCTGCAAAAGCCAGGTTGACTGGCTCTGATCAACGCGGCAGTATTATGAACGAAGTCTACAGGTCGAGTGATTATTCCGATGAGTCTCCGCCTCACGCAAGTCCATCCAACGATTAGACGCGTGGGGATGGTGGTGATGCACCTATACATCACCACGAGCGAAGTAACTCAAGGGATCGGGGCAACACTGGTGTCAGTGCTCATGCTGACAACAATCAAGAGGCCAGGGACTGAAATGTCTAGCGCCACGCTCCTCAAGTGGAGTCTCCGTGGATGCCGCCATCGAGAGAGTTGGACCGGTTGGCCGGCACGACTACCGATCGGGATCGAATTTCGTTGTTAGATTGCAGGAAGATTTGCCCACCTGATTCCAGCACGGAAACTATCCGTGCTGAGGAAGAGTTCTTCACCGATGCGTTCTTTAAACATGGGTGGTGTAGTGGTAGCCGTGTTCGGGACGATAAGGCCTCAGTGCAAGGATGGAATGCCCTCATCCACAACACCGAGTGCATTGGCCGTGAGGCCTGGCTCGCCAAACTTGATGCAGCTCACATCAGGTTTGAGAAACGCAACACCGTCGGGCGCGATACAAGTTGCACCGGCTTTCAAGAGAGGCAGGATTACCCTGTTTCTCGTATGGTGATTCGTGTTCAATTACCTGGACAACTCGAACCGTGCCCTAAGGGAGGCCTCCCTCCCTAATGATCCCTACTGAAAGGCGCGCATCTCTTCTGAGATGGCCGAATGGGTTGACACCTTGCAATCCATGTACTCGCGTTCGGGGAGGTCCTTTTTATGACGGCCCTTCTTCAAATGCAGCGGGTGGGTCTCGTCAGACTGCTCGACGAGACCAAGGACATCAACAATCAGCTGGGCACGAGGCTCCCAGCTGTCCCACGCCGGTGTATATCCACGCCAGTGGACAAGGTAACTCGTTCGGACGCTATTCGCATCGCGGTGGTGTAAAGTACGCTCCACTAGGAAGCGTTGACCACCTCTTGAGTCCACCAAAGGATGTGGTGGCGGTGGGAACACCTGATGCGGCTCGAGGGTCGGAACAACTTGATGTTCAAGAGCTGAACCGTCTAATGGAACAGTTGCAAGATGACCTGGCTCATGAACGATCTCGGCGTTATGGGCTCGAGGATCTTGTAAGGGATGATTACAATTTCTTAGCGCACGATCGTTCGGACGATCGGGCCGCTTTTGCGTTCGCGCAACTTGAGAACAAACGTTCGACTCGTTCTTTTCGTGACGAGCTGGCTGTAGCTCGTCGAGACATCGCTGAACTGCGTGAACAGGTCGCTTCGCTAGTCGACCAGACTGGTTCATTGAAACGGGACCACTCGAAGGTGGTTTCGGCTCTCGACCGTAGAGGTGTTCTTCGCATCTCGAAACGGGCTCGTACTGATAGTACGGGCGGAGACGACCGACATAAAACGTAGGATGCGTACGCATCTTACGGGGCAGTTCAATCTTGTATGCATTGCCCATTCGGCGCAACACAAGAAATGGACCGATGTACCTATGCAGTAATTTACTGCTGCCCACGTTTGTCACTGCGTGCTTCGGTAAGTTTACTGTAGACAGTAAAACTAGGTCTCCTTCATCAAATGAAAGAGCATATTCTCTTCCATGTTTGTCTGCGTTTCTCTTCTGTATGTCTAATGCATCTGCGTAGAGTCTTGAACGAAGCGGACAACCGCTTCGCGAGTCAGCAGAAATTCCTCTGCTGATTCATCCTTGTCAACAGCAGTGCGCTTCGTGTGCACTGCTGAAAGAACGTTGTCTTCACCAAAGAGGGCGCCATCGTCCTCACTGTGACAGTCATTGTCGATGCTGAATGTACCAGCATCGTCGTCATCATCAGCGTCGATATCAATCGCATCGACATCGGCATCCATCACGTCGACACCGTTGTCGGCGGGTGATGAGCAAGAACCATATCGGTTTTCGTTCGAGCAAGTCCACCCCCCCTTAAACTAGAGTCACACTATAAGAAGGCGGGTGAACGCGGATGGCGTAGGCCATTCACGAAGAACGGTGTATGCGTTGTAGACGCGTGCGCCGAGTTGTTGATGGCTAATTCCGCCATCGGCAAGAATTCACTCCAGCTCGTAAACGAGTGGACATACCCTTGAAGTATCTCTTCGAGAACGCGGTTGACGCGTTCCGTTCGACCATCTGTTTTGGGATGGTCAGAAGTCGACATCGTCAAACGTGTCCCAAGTGAACGGAACACGGATTGCCAGAACTCCGCTGTGAAGCGGGGGTCCCTATTGGACACGAGTTCACGGGGTAACCCGTGAAGTCGGAAGATAGTATCGATGAAGTCACGAGCACAACCCTGGGCTGTGATTGACTCCGGTACAGCAACAAGATGTACCATCTTGTTAAACCGATTGACAAACACAAAAATAATATTATTCTTGTGAACGTCTTTGGGAAACCCGAAGACGAAGTCCATCGATACAGACTGCCAGCACTCTGCCGGAATCGGAAGATGATGTAAGGGTGCGCGGGATGAAGGACTAGGCTTCACCCGTTGACAAACTTCGCAAGCGCGAATGTATTTCCGCACAAACTCATATTGACGGGGCCAATAGAAGTCACGACTCACCATGAGGTAAGTCTTGTCCACTCGTTGGGGCATCGTGACACTCATACATGATGCGCAATCGCAAATTATTATGAGCCAGAACGACGACACGAGGTGTGTCACCGTTGACTGATGTATAGTACAGCAGTCTATCGCGGACAGAATACCGTTCGGTTGAAGAGCGGTATTGAGACGATAAGCTTTTTAAAGCTTGATTACACGGATTGGATACGTAATCCATCAACCGCAGAAGAGACTCATCTTCTGTGTATGCTTTTCGCACGTCATCGAGCAGATTCGACGACGGGACACTCACTGTTAGTGTCGCGACAGTGGGATCACCTCTACTGTTGGGTTGAGAAGTCGGCTCGAAATCGGGCCGACGCGAAAGAGCATCAGCGACGACATTAAGTCGTCCTGGTTTAAACTCGACGGAGAAGTTGTACTCCGCGAAGAAAGACAGCCACCTCGCCATTCGTTGCGAAAGGTGTGGACTGTTTACGGCCGTGCGTAATGACGCATGGTCTGTATAAAAGATAAAAGGCCTATCTCCTAAGAGATATACCCGAAACTTAGCCAGTGCATAATTCATGGCGAGGAGTTTCTTGTCATGCACCGGATAATTTCGCTCAGCTGCTTGCAGCTGACGCGATTGATAACAGATGACGCGCTCAACGCCGTCTTAGTTGTACTGCATTAACGCGCAGCCGATTGCAAAATCGTTGGCGTCACAGACCACATGAAATGGTCAATCCTGATCTGCGATCGCCAGCGCAGGCGATTGCACTAAGCTTTTCTTGATATCTTAAAAAAGTACTGACACTCAGCGCTCCATGACCACCTCTCGTTTTTTTTAGCAGACGAGAGAGATGTACGGTTATCTCGGCATAATTGCGCGAGTACGTGTGCAAGTACTTCGCCAATCCAAAAAACTTTCAAAGTCACTTGATGTCGACTGGCACAGGCCAGTCGCTAATCACCTTGATCTCTTCGGAACAGGGCGTACACCGTTTTTACCCACGATGCATCCAAGAAGTGGTATCTCGTTCGCTGCAAATATACACTTCTTGAGGCTCGCGAGCGACTTATGCTCTCGCATTATAGTAAGAAACTTCCGGGCGTGGATTCTATGAGCCTCCGCGCCCGTCTTTTTATCCATAGCCCGGCTATGGACGAAGACATCGTCGAAGTTACTCGGTGCGAAGTCGCGCACCGTTCGCAACAGATTCGTAACACATCTATTAAACGTTGCGGCGGCGTTACTTAGCCCCTGTGTCATCACTAGCCACTCCCAGAGCATACCACTGGGGGTGCTCACTGCTGTAAAAGGGATATCCCGTTCATGCATGAGGATCTGATAGAATCCATCCACCAAATCCATGGACAAAAAAGATGCTTTTTGCCATACCATCTATGATGACGTTCTTTCTTGGGATCGGCGTCTGAGCCGGTACCGTTGCAGCATTCAATCTGTTAAACGCGTGCACTATCCACCACCCTCCTGTGGCCTTTCGCACACAAAAGGTCGGAGAGCTGTGTGGGGATGTTGATTCCCTCACGTAACCGGCCGCTAATCGATCGGCAAGAAATATGTAGACAGCTGTGACCTGTCCACGAGACAGTAGCCACTGCTTCATGACACAGTACTTCGAACCAGGTTTTAGCTCGATCTCATGCCGAGTGCCTTTGTCCTTAGGCAGCTCGCATGGCACGGATTCCGAGAAAACATCCCTGAATTCATCCAAATCCTTATACAAAGGATTTGTCTTCAGAGACTCCCAAGATTGAGACGTGTATCGCTTGAAGTGAGTCTTTTCATTGAGGACAATCTCGTTCATCGATGAGCTACTGAGAAAAAAAGGTCGTTCTCAGCAAACACTTGTGCCGAACGACTATCGGCGACGTACCCGTCTTCTGTGACGAGTACGCAGATCTGCTTGATCTTGTCACTACGCAGATCTCGCAAGCATCTTTTAGATTATAGCGTTGGCAACTTTACTACCTCCGAAGCTGACTTCGGAGGTGTAACCAGATCAAGTGTATAAGCGCCTACACTTGATCAGTCATTCACCAAGACATTCACTGTCTCGGTGATTTTCTGGGAAAACACATTTTAGGTAGTTGGGGAAACTCACCCTCAACATAACTCTCTCGGGTGTTATCACTCTCAGGAACGCTGGAACTTTCTTCCAATACTTGTACTGACTGTGTGTGCACTACCACAGTCACTTGCTCTTCGATCGACTCTCTGATAATCGATCCCTTTTTAACGTGTTGTTTATCCTGAACAACACTTATCTTTTTTCTTGAATGCACCCTTTTAACCTCCCCTTGTGCATCCATGTTCCAGTCCACTCGATCTCTTCGAGTGGTGAACCTTCGGCGCAGCCTGTGTCTCTACACAGGTGCCGGAAGCTGGTTCCACAGTGTAGTGGCCTTCTACACTGTGATCTTGTGCAATCGTACTAACGACCGTACCACAAGTGATGCCATCACACTCACTCGTAGTACATCCACACGCTTGTGGACGCTCCAAGACGTTCATCAGATGTCCATCCGATGAACAAACGGCAGGCGTCTTCACGGATCGATTCTGCCAGCTAACCCATGGCTGGTACTTTCTAAGCCATGGCAAACCAATGATGACATCAAATTTGTCATCCAAATCTAATACGATAAAGTCATCATCGTATTGTTTTCCTTCTAGCGTGTAGTGGATTCCTACTACACGTTTGCTCACTGTTACGGATGCGCCTATAGCAAGGCACAACGTCATCCTCGTTGGAGGGAACTCCCGCTCAACATAGTTGAGCCTACTATGCCCTAGCGACTGACGTCGAATAAAACTGTTCTACGCCCCACAGTCAACTAAGGCGCGAAGTGACATTCCACTATTCACTTCGATCTTCAAAGTGATGAGAGACATCTCATCACTAGGGGCAGTAACACACAGCGACTGTTTGTTGGTAGCAATCTTCGTCAAGAGTCCTGCAATTCCTCTCGACGTTGCTGGATCAGCAGGGTGCTTCGCACCTACTAATCCTGACCGTTTTTTGACGGTCCGACTTGCTTTCGCGGCTTGGAGACATGGTCGGACTCACGCCTTGTACCTTTCCTTGGCCAACGGTGGTCATCATGTCCTGTCTTTGGACGTGTATCGGTGCTTGGGACACTACACCCATGAGCTTAGTGTCCAATCTTCTGACATCGATGGCATTTTGCCGTTCGCTTGTGAATCAGAGAGCAAGAGTTCTCGCTCTCGATGTAACAGAGGTCCATTGGTTCAGGGCCTTATGTTTCCTGTCGCCTCGTCGGACGATAGTTGGACGAGTTAGCCTAAGACTGTCTCAGGCTAAAGTCTTCTTGTCTCGCATACGCTGTCGCCCTTTCCAGCGTATGGAAATCCTCTTGGAACATGTAGGTCTTCACCGGCCCATCCATAAGGCCGTAGATGAACACGTTGATGAGCGTGTGCTCATCAACATTGTTCTCCGTAACGCTACTCGCAAGGCAGCGCAGGTGCTGTGCGTAAGCGTGCACGTCACGCTTACCTTGCTTTAGCCTCAAGAGTGCAGAGCGTGCTCTGGACTCGGCTCTCGGCGGCTCAAACGTCTCTTTGAGCCGATGCTTCAAGATTTCCAACAGCTCAAACACGTTTGGGTCGTGAAGCTTGAGCCCTAAGACCCAAGTCTTTGCTCGTCCCGTCAAATTTGACAGGGCGAAGGTGACTTGCATCTCGTCAGCCTCGATATGACGGACCCTGATGGCATCGTCTAACTCGACGAACCATCTCAAAAGGGAACCTTCATCGGTTCCCTTGTACCTTGAGATATCAATCTTCAAGGTTTCGGGTCGATGAATGTGCATCGGCCCGCCCATCGACTGATGAGAGCCTCGCTGTTGTAGCAAGGCTATCTTCTGTCTTTTGACGGCAAGTTCTCCTAGTAGGAACTTTTCGATAGCAGCATGGTGCTGGTCTCTGCTTAAAGACTCCAACATACCACTGATGGCGGGTTCGCCCATGAGCACACTCATGCGGCCGAGTACCTCCCATTCTGAGATACTAAGATAGGAGTAGCCTTCACGTATGACGTGAAAGCTGTCGTCTTCTACGTCCATGTTCATGTTGGACGGACGCTAAGTAGTCGTTGGACGGACTACGAAGTGCTAACAGGTGTAAGGGGCACCCTTTGTTTGGGGTGCCGCGAAACTTCACGTTCACTAGTACGTGCAGAGGAAGATAATCTACTTAAAGAGCTAGTCTAAGTAAAGGGAAAAGAGAAGTGTATTTAATATAGTTTAGCT